GAGTTTCGTAAAATCCTTTCTTAGCGGATTCCTGCGTTATAACATCTACTTGCATGCCTTTCAGCCCGATCCGTCCAGTGGTTTGGGCTGTGCGTTGATAGATCACTATATCAGTCAGTCAGTCAGTCAGTCAGTCACCTTTGAGTTATTATATATTTAGATTAGGAATATTCTGACTTCACTGTTGATCTGTTGTTGCCACTAAAATCTTTAGTTCGTATTCTTACCCTCACAAAAAGCTTCTTGACGTTAGCCAATATTGTGTTGCCCACCTTCCCAGTCAATAAACTACTTGGCCCTTTTCAGGATTATACTACGTCGTATTTGCTCGTTCGGGCCAACAGCCGTAATGAGAGATGTAGGGCTTTGTTTACTGGAGGCGCGAATGTGTTAGACTAAGAGCTAGTGAACGCCAGACCTACAACATTTTATAAAAGCTGAAAGTTTGTCAGCGTATGCTCCCAATATAGGATATAATGTTGATGAATTATGAAGTTTGGCTCATCGTGGCTTTGGGAGCTACCCTAAAAAAGTGTCTGGCAAGGAGTTGGAACTGTCAAAACTGTCTGGCTGTTAGGGAAAATACTTCTAATTATTGTCCAAATATTGACCCTAACTTCATAATTCACCAACGTAATTTCCTATATTGGGAGCATACGCTGACAAACTTTCAGCTTTTATAAAATGACGTAGGTCTGGCGTTCACTGGCTCTTAGTCTATTGGGTTGTTTTGCTTATTGGCATCCGCTGTCAGTAACTTTTCAGATTTGAGACGGATTTACGAGGGGAAAGTAAGTAATTATATTCGGCCAGCAGCGGTCGAGAGGAGTTTTTTTCCACTTTTATTATAGAAGCTGAAAAGGTTATTTTCGACTTTTTTTATAAGACGTGGCTTATTAGGATTTGAAGAATTATTTATATTTAAATTGAAGATGCCAAACTTATCTAAAAGTTATCTTGAAACTTGAAACACCTAAGGCAATATTAAATTTTAATGTTTCGTAATTAATATTCTGGTGTTAGAATTTATAAACATTGCACTATCTTACTCTAAGGCAAAAGTCTGTCATAATCCAAACAAGAACACCGGTTAAAGTTATAGTTACGGTTAAAGTTACAAGTTGCAGCTACAGATAATTGCTACAACCTTTGCTGCATAGTTATTTTCATCTCAATATACCCATGGACCACTAAAACAAAAAATGGATTCAGTATTTGCACAGTAAATATTCGAAATGAATATGAAAGCGTCCAACTTTTTCATCAAACGCTTTAATTAACTTGTAGCGTTTAACAAATCAACTTTTAGATCTGACTATTATTTTAAATCGTTCCCAAGATATTTCATTCAATATTTTAACAAAAAATTGTCCAGTGATTGCGTCGTTTTTCTGCTCTATCAATTTTAATTATATTTGAAACAAAAAAAAAAATTATTTGGGGACATTTTTATTGCGGCCAGTGACAAGAATGACTCGACTTATTTGAAACGATTAAAAAATCTTTGACATTGAAGAACGATAGTGTTTTGTTTTTGTATTAGTCTGTAGGTATCTTTTGCTATTTAAGTTGTGTAGTTTTTAGAGATAACATAATGTTAGCATTGTCGTAATAGCTAAAAAATAGTAAATAATTTAAATTCCTTTTATAGTTTCTTTTTATATTCATGGCTTATTGTTAAAAGGATCGCGCGGCAAGAAAACAATCATCGCTATTTGCTGCTAAAATCAAGTAAGATAAAGTATATCCTACTAATATTATAAATGCGAAAGTTTTTATGGATGTCTGGATGTCAACATATTTGTTACTCTTTCACACAAAAACTACTGAACGAATTTTGATGAAACTTTACAGTATTGTTGTTTATGACCCAGAATAACATAATATAGGTTATAATTTAACACGATATGTGACAAACTAAATTTCATGGGGGTGAAACCGCAGGCAAAAGCTAGTTACTAACTAAACAATTTTCTGAGTTGACTTCGCCTTCTCTAACAATACAATATATGGTATTTTACTAATAAATACTCAGCTTTCATTAAAACATCCTAAATTATTCCGCATCTTTACACAAAATTCCACCATATTAATATAGATGAACGGTAATCCTCAGAAATAAAAGAAATACGGATAACGCTGTAGTAAGCTCTGGTAAATTGCGAAGGCAATATATCTAAGAGACCACTCATAGTCACGGAATATATTACTGGACACGGTGAGAGAAAGTAATAAAACTAGCTAGTTATTCCCTGAGAAAGTCGTATTTCACTAGAATTTATGTCTCACGAGTCGTATTAGAACAAATGAGTAATTCTGTAATATGGAAAAGTAAGGGCCCTTTTTAGAGCTCCGTAGTTTGATTTTATGCTATGCCAACTATTTCAGACTATATTTTGGTGATTACGCGTGATATTGGCAGATCTCAATCCGAGACCTGAAACTGAAAAATGTAGTGTATCTAACAGATAAGTGCCTAATAGGCTATCGGGGACCTTGTCGCACTTAGAAGCACTAATTCATTTGTACGAACTATGCATTATAGTCTTAAGTAAGTGAGCAATTTTGACTTGTACCCTATACCTATGACTTATAGGATGGGCCAAAAATTTTCGCGAATAACAACGCTTGATTTCTCGAAAGTGGTTCTTGAACCTGTGAAACTGTGCATAATTTCATGAAGCTTTACGCCCGTATTTCACAAACATTACTATGAGGTCAGTGCGCGTGGACGCACAGGGTGACGACATACGAGCCAATCACAAAGCTCTATTTAACGCTGTGCGTTCGATTTGCTGCTTCACTGCAAGTATCGTTTGTGAATACGGGCTTTAGTTATTATGGAGCTCTTCACGGGACAATAGCGTATTTTTTGTAAGAAAAAATTACCTCGAACCGTTTTCGAAAATTCCAGAATTTTTTTGGCCCATCCTATTATTTAGCATAAAAATCCTTACCTAACATTTTCGACTTTTACGCGAACGAAATCGCGGGCAATAGCTAGTAGTACCTAGTCCATCGATCCAAGCCCTTGAAGCTTATATTTTTTTGCCAAAATCACACCTACAGTTACAATGTACTATTATTATAGGACGCCGCAGTGTTGAGTACCGTAGTATATACACTCAAGGGCAGGTCAAGTGAAACATGTTGTGTGGGACAAGTGCGGTCACAAGGTCGATATTACACTTATTTATTGTCTACACCAGTTTGTTTTTACATGAAGGATATTCTTAAGAATATAAGGGTCACAGTAGACATTCTCCTTTTAGTATCGACAATCAAGCCGCTTTTTTGAAAACCTCGATGAAGAAGAATGTGAATTCCAAAACGCCAAACGCTGCAATTGAGTCGCTTTTCAGAAGCTCAGTGCAGCTACACAGCAGTCGCTAGCACTAAGAAAAACCATATTAGTGCTTGAAATATATTATTTGAAACACTTTGAAACTTGCTATTTTTATAAAAAGGTACAACGCTGTTTAAAAGAAAGGAAACACATAAAAGAACACTTGTCTTTCCTTTCCTTTTTGTCTGTATTGTCAGGGCAATTTCAGGGCTGACTCGTTTTCTTTATAATCAAAATTAAAATCAAATACAAAATGCAGCCTACATTGTTATATTGGCTTATAAATTCAAATGGGAAATGAATTCAGTACATTTTGATACGGCCGCGTCTGCTTGCATTAATTTGATATTATAATGAAGTAAATTCATCATTTTTATGTTGTTATAAATATTTATGAATTTAAATTTGCGTTTGTAAAAATGCCCCAGGTTAAGGTGGAAAAAGGAAGATAAAAATGCTTCTGAAAGATTTGATTTTTACGTAATCTTGTTAAGTAATTTAACATGATTCTAGATTGCTATCGATCATGATTTAATTATGATAAGAACCATGTCGACGTCCTGAAATAAGGCTATGAAAGTTCTACCCATTACTTAACTGAATCTTAAAAGTGTAGAACTGCTTTTTATTTTATTGGATTACGATTATTGACGTAAATACTCTAAACTGAACTCTACCTACGTTTTTATTTCAAGAAAATAACTATAACTTACAGAGAGAAGTCTTCCAGCAGTACCTAGAGACTAAGGCTTAGTTTGCACCAAAGCGGAATGAAGTTTTTCAAATCTCCTCTCATCTCTTCTCTGCTTTGATGGAAACCGGACCTAAATGAACCTACTTACGATACTGATCTATTTCAGGAGTTCCCAAACTTATTTTGTCTACTGTCCACTTTGAGAATAAGTATTTTTAGCACCCCCATTTTGTAGTCGAGGCACAGAATAATAATAAGTACTACGTACAGAAGTTTTACTTCGCGAAGGTATTTAAAAAAATGTATGCTCAATGTCATTAACAATATGGTGTAATTTAGCCTGTCTCAAGAGTCAAGCACCATTTTGTTGACAAACGTCAGTGATCGGCACTGCGCCGAAGCTATAGGGCTGACTTCGGTAAAATGATGTGACGTGAGGTGCCAAACTGCGGAAATGGCGGAGGAAATACATGATTTAGCATGAATTATCATGAATAATATTAACTACTTATTTACCTCTCAGTGTTTTGAGACAACTTAAAAAAGTACATTCTGTGTTTTTATTATTATTTAGGCAGTTAAATACTGCACAGTATTTAGTACACCAGTTTCTTTATTTTCTTCCATCATACACAATAATACGCGTGCGTGAGTCAATGTTCGCTCGTATGTGAGGCCTTGTCGAATAGTATCCTGTAGCTGGGCCATCGTGCGTGTTTTGTTTTCGATGTAAACTTGCGGAGATGAACAGGCCTGGTCGAGGTTCAAGTGCTTAGTCGGTGTCTAAGAGTTTTCCTAGTAGATGAAATTACAAATCGCCTCCCAAGCCTCTACACAACGTCCCGATTTTTTTTCTGGGTCTCTTACCGCTCCCCTTTAGGCTCGCAGCGCCTACAAAGGGGCGTTATCACCCACTTTGGGAAAGGCTGGTCTATTTACACATGGTTATCTTTGTTTCAGGTTACTTCCCTTTGCCTGCTGTGTACTGCCTCACCTGGATCTGCTTGGACGTGCTTCTGTGTACTGCTTCCATTATGCATCTATGCACCATCAGTGTTGACAGGTAATTTGGAAACTACCTTCTTATTTGACTTGACTTGTCATTATAGGTGTTTTCAGGGCTTAGACTTTATTAATTTTCCCAAACTCAAATCCATTTGCCCCATCATGTTTAGTAAACAGCGTGGGACGTCCACCCATAAGGTGGACCGACGACATCATAAAGGTAGCAGGAAGGCGCTGGACGCAGGCCGCTATCAACCGGGCAACATGGAAAGCATTGGGGGAGGCCTATGTTCAGCAGTGGACGTCCTATGGCTGAGATGATGATGATGATGATATTGAGTAAATAAACCATTGGGCTGCCCATCCAAATGAGCGCACTTCCATACACACCCATACTGATTAACTGCCCGGCGTAAAGTGTGCAGTCTGCCAGGAGGCTAAAAGGTTTAAAAAGTTGAGTTAGTTAACTGAAATAATACCAAATCCTGTGTGTACGTGAGACAAAAAGCAACACAAATTCAAATTCAAATATTTATTTGCATAATTTTATTTAGCATGGATTAATGGATCCCACAAAACTTACCCGAACGAATCATAGCCTTTAAAACTAAAAGCTCATGCTGTCAAATTTTACGAACTCCAATTTAAAGTTAAGTAAATAATACTAACACGTCACGTCACATCCATTTATAAATGTTGTGTTACGTCAGCCGCATTTATTATTAATTTATTTGCGTGTCACTGTTTCCACGCCCTCACGTCGCCCTATATGCTACAGCCATAACGAAGTAATATGTAGCAGGGTTGATTTGATACGGACCGGAAAACTATGTTTATAATAAAGTATGGGCCAATTTTTTTTGCAAATGGCAACTCTCGATTTTTCGAAAACCATTTGAGTGAAAACCCCTTGGTGTATGGTTTGCCGGAAACTATTCATCTTTCACGAATCTTCATTGTGATTTTTGTGTAATTTTTATTTACTAAAGTTACGACTGTTTAGAACTGACGGATTACGCAGTGTGATTGTACAACTGTCAATTTAATCAAAGCTCGAGAAGTTCGAGCAAACGGGATCGACACCGAATATTAAACAAACATTTACGGCGTAACTCTAATAGTACGTACTATCGGCAACAGTGTTAACTGCCCATTGAAAGTCATGTCATCTCGTTCTATCGCAAAGAATCGCCATTTGATTAGAGCGAGAGCAAAAACGGAAATGGATAGTTAACAGTGTGGCCGTGTGTACGTACAACCTGGTCAAGTTAACTGCGCACCTGGCAGCCGTGACGTCACATCGACGCTCTGAGCCCCGATTACGGTAACTTTTAACGTTTCCAATCCAGACGCGCTTCTGATTCTGCGATACGATTGGTCAAAACAGCTGACGTACGCTGTTGAACGACCAATCGTATCGCAGAATCGAGAAGCGTGTCTAGATTGTAGACGTTAAAAGTTACCGTAATCGGGGCTCTGGTATAGACGGGGCGAATGCGGGGGAGGTGTGCGGGTAAAATAAATGACAGAGAGATTCGCATTCCAGCGAGGTACGCAGTTAGTTCGATCGCGTTGGGTTGTACGTTTCGCTGCTGATTCTCTTCATAATTTGTAAAAACAAAAATTAAAAAGCCATATTGCGTTTGTTCGAAAGTCTGACATCTTTATTTTTGTTTTTTAATTTCTTTTTAATTCCTGTCCTTGACAGCTGCCAGTGATTGGGGCTTCTACCACCATATATCTTGTGTCATATCAATCATTTATAAGCATGTTTGTTTGCAGATACCTCTCCCTGCGTTACCCCATGCGCTTCGGCAGAAACAAAACGAGGAAGCGAGTCACCATCAAGATCGTGTTTGTGTGGATATTGTCTACAGCCATGAGCCTCCCGTTGAGTCTTATGTACTCCAAGGTAAAGACTATTTTGATACGTTTATTGTACACAAGGTTCTGGAGTGGAGGTCACGTACCGGAAAGCGCAGCGTAGGACGTTCACCCACGAGGTGGACCTCATAAAGGTAGCAGGAAGGCGCTGAATGCAGGCCGCCACCAACCGGCCATTGTGGAAATCATTGGGGGAGGTATATGTTTAGCAATGGACGTCCTGTGGCTGAAATGATGATGATGATGATTTTACACACAAAACTGGCAAATGAAAGGAACATAAAATTTAAACAAGGTTGTTTTTAAATATCTTACATCTATTTCTTTTTAATACTTAATATAGGTTTTAACAGTCACACAATAAACACAATTAATGTTTAATAGGCTTTTAATGGGCATAACAAGTTCTTTGTCATTGTTATTGGACCTTAAAACATGAGAACAAAGTTCAAAATATCATGGAACTGTATTCCCACTGCTGTATAAAGAACGCGTAATGAGTGGTTCTCATACGACTCTATGATAGTCGAAGGTTGGATCCCCGCAAAATGCAACAAACTTTTCTAAATGGGCGTTTGCTAAAAAGGTAAAATGCATTTACAAAAAAGTATTTTAATTAAGTTATCATCTGTCGCCTGGTATAATAATTTTCACTTAGGTTGCAACTAGACTGTGCAGTGTAAATGTATACTGTATACCCACTTTTAAACAGTTTTACTTTCCTCGAAAGAATGTATTGATTAGAAAAGTTTTCTCAGGTCACAATTTGAAGTTTTCAACCCAAAACAAAAAATAACAAAACATTGTTTTAATTCTTTAAGTATTGCAAAACTTTTTTGATTTAGCGAGACCAAGCCTTTCACTCGACACACGGCTTAAAAAAATAGCTAGCATCTTATTTCATTTTTAACCTCCGACGCAAAAAGATGGGTTTTATAAGTTTGATATAATGATTCAGTTCACATAGGTACATTTTATTAGTAAAACTTAACAACTCTTGGGGTTGGGGTCCAGTTTTGCGGGATGTAAAAACTTTTCTAACTTTTTATGGTCAATCAATACTTAGTTTTCTATACGCTAAAACCGTGTGTCCCTAAGGATTTTGTTTGGGTGAGATCCAATCGCGATTGTGAATATTTGCAAGCAACTTTTGGGCGCTTAATGTTTCACGGATCTTTAATTAGGTACTTTCGTACCGGATTAATTCTGTCTTCATTGAAAAGTTGTGAAACAATTTCTTTGAAATTGTAACAAAAATGCTAAGCCTAATAGAGGCACAAAAGATTTTAGAAGGTCACCGAATTTCATCTCTTATTTTAATTTAGCAACGTCTCCAAATCACAAAAAGTATTTTTGCGCGCTATGGGTTCATAAACTCTTTATTTCCGATGTAAAAATATGAATCTCCATATCCCTTGACATGGGTAATGATGGGTGTATCCCATAAAATCTTTTATGAAGCCCCCTTCAAGATTCTCTACAAAATAGGGGACAAAGTGTGTTCTTAAAGCATTACAAAACAAATGAATGCGCTAGTTACGTACATAAAAGTTTTATTCTTTTCATTTGTTTCTTAATCGAATGTTTTGCAAATAAATCTATTCAATCATAGTCAAAATTACGTCAATCAAATCGCGCTTCGCAAAAAACTTGAAATGTAAATATCTGAGTACCGTCAATTTTCTGCCAAAGGCAGACTAACGGTTAATGGAATCCTATTGGGCCCATAGACAGCCATTTGCCCAGTAAATGCGAGGCGCTCTCGAAAATTATAGACCTGAATTCAGGAATCAATGTAATTTTACGGATTTCAGACGCCAATTGAATTTCAATTGGGGTTATTGAGGTTTTAAAGTGAAAAACTGTATTGGTGTCAAGTTGAATATATAGGTTAAAATACTGTTTTGCTATTAACCAGTATGGAACAAATAGGTTTTCCGGGCCTTTTTAAGGCGAGAGTGAATAGGCACTTACAGGGCAGATATGTACTATCCTAGACTGCATCTCACTTAACGATTGCGATCAAATACCTGCCTTGTCATGCATAAAAAATCTTTCAAAGTAAGTTATACACTATGTGAAGGTGTATGAACTTTGAAACTTACCAAATCAATATTTAATTTATCAAGAATATTTCTAACTAACAAGTCAGAAAAGTCACTTACAAAACGACAAACATACAGGCCTTTTATCTCCACAAGCAATCTTGATATTGAACTATAAAAGCTACACAGAACATTTTGCCTCAGTGAGTCGGAAAATGATAAGTATGCTATTTGTCACAGTGCAAGTCTAAGGTAGGTTCTCTTTATTTTAGCCGGTAGTAGAATAGGTTCCTCGTTTTAAAATAAGATAATCACATCAGAATAAATAAGTGCGTATCCTTGTCTGCGCCATCGCTCAAACCTTCATCAGCTAGGTATACAATAGTGAAAATCCCATTAAAATTGGTCCAGCCGTTTCTGAGGTTAGACGGAGGAAACAATGAAAATATAAGTAACAGATATCGTATTAAATAAGTTTTTTAACAAAACAGCCACTTAAAATAAATAATTAAAGTCAAAACGAATTACTAAGTAATAGATACTTTTAGCATTATAACATTGTTCATTCACATAGTCAACATAAAGAAATGATACATTGAACGATAAAAGGTAAATAAATAATAAATAAATATCCTTGGTCTTTTACACTGCGCCTCTAGTCCTAAACTAAGCAAAGCTTGTACTATGGGTACTAGACAACGGATATAAACATACTTAAATACTTTAAAGGTACAAGCAATGTCAATAATGCACCAATTTGATATCACCAATGGTACATTACAAACAAGAATGAATATAGAACGAACCTTTCCCTTTAAATAATTAAATTACATTCAGATGTCGGATGGAAGCCTTTACATGTAACGATATGTGAGCGAGAAGAAAACGTTACGATTATTTTATGCTACAGATTTCTATTTTATTCTTAACTTTAACATTAATATCATTAGTAGGAATATCATAAGATAGGCATAAAATAAGTTACAATGACACAATTTAAGCATTCCTGTAGCTAGAATCATCAACAGCCCTTTACAGTCCACTGCTGGACTATGAGCCTCCTCCACTATAGTGGAGGGTTTTGCCATAATCTCCACGCTTGGCAGGCGGGTTGGAGATCGCAGTTTAAAAGATTGATGTTTTTCAGAGAGCGCTGCTGCCCATTCTCTGTTTGATGTGTAGTCCCTAAGTCGCCTCTTACGACACCCGCGGGAAGAGTAGGGGTTGGTGACAAATGTATTCTACTCTGCCGTCACCACACGGCTTATAGCTGCCTGTAGCTAGAATGTAAGTAATAATTTAATTAATCCAAACAAATAAAGCCATTTTTGACAGTGAGCTTACCATGATTTTACGTTAGGTGTGCTCGCTAGCAAGAGCGTCAAAAAATCTATGAAGATTTCAGTTCTTGAAAGTAACTAGGAGCGCTGTACAATCTGTCAATGTAAACTCGGTAAGGACACTGACGCCCGTATTCACAAACGATGCTTGCTTATGTGAAGCAAAAAATCGAACGCACAGCATTGAACATAGCTCTGTAATTGGTTCGTTTATCACCCTGTGCGTACTCTGCGTAATCTCTTCCAGACGATGCGGGATGAGCCTGGATGTGGGCAGCGCAGGACCGTTCATTGTGGAAAACCTTGGCAGAGGCCTTTGTCCAGCAGTGGACGTCATTCAGCTGAAACGAACGAATGAACGATGCGGGAAGACCTGTCTGAAATAAAAAGCGGTTATAACCAAATAATGTTACCTACTTATTCATGGCTGTACCTAATCGTATTACGTAAAAGAGCAGACATGCCACAGTCGTATGGTATAAATCGTCCTTCTCAAGGGCCCGACTTATTCCAATATTAATATATTCGATGAATACTCTTAGATTAATTAAATTTTCGGTTATCAATCGTCTAATCTCGGACCCGCTTTGGACGTAACGACCGTCCTCATTTTCGTAATCCTGGATAAGATGCAATCTTTCTGACTTTTTCTTCGCTTCGGAATATCGAGGATTATTGAGGACTGAAATTTCAGACTTGTTCGGGACTGGATGTTTTTTCATTAAATCTGAATTGGTATTGTGAAGACGGAGACATGTTTGGATATTGGAAATAATCCATATAGTTGAAAGAATGATTGTTACGTACATAGGTGGGCCATCAAAATAAATAAATATCCCTGGATATTTTACACTACGCTTCTAGTCCCAAACTAAGCAAAGCTTGTGCTATGGGTACTAGACAACGGATATAAACAAACTGAAATACTTTTTTTTTGTAAATACATACATATTATACTTAACACCCAGCTCCATCACAGAAATTAAAATTCATCATTTCAATTTCTGCCCGGCCGGGAATCGAACCCGGGACCTCTCGGAACGGTAGTCCGTTCTGAACCACTACTCCAAACAGCCGACAAAATGCATCGTTCATCATTTAAGCCAAATAACGTCTACTGCTGGTCAAAAAACTCTCCCAAAGATTTGCTTATTAACTGGTCCTGCGCCTGCTTGCTAGAAAAACTTCTTAGGCTGAGTTGCACCAACTTACTTTGACCGTAACTATAACAATAACTGGTGTATTTTGTATGGAGTTTGAGAGATTTTTGACGTTTGGTAAAGTCAAAGTAAGTTGGTGCAACCCAGCCTTAGTGTGTGTATTAAATGAATTTATTTATGGTATTATTTAACCGTTAAATCCTGCTTATAAGAAGCCATGGGTTTTTCTTCACCCAGCGTAATCCAAAACATGATTTTCTCTACCTGAACAAAATTGATTGTTTTTTTCGAGACTTGACTTTATGGGACTTTTAGAATTAGTACTCTTTTCATTAAAATTTGACGTCGATTCCAATTGAGTGCTATTCAGTACAGAAATAAGTGAGAAAAGAAACGATCAAGTGAAACATTTGAGTTATGGCTATCGACAGGGATGTTATGGACATGAAGTTTCGGTTATTGATACGGTTACGGATATTATAATAATATTAAACCGGTTTCGGTTACGATTACGGATATCAAATCTTTTCGGATTATCCGAAAGTTTCGGATAAATTCGGTTACGGATATTAGAATTTTAAAAATGTAAAATTCAAATAGCACGATACCTCGCGAACCACATAGCCACTTTATGTACTATGACGACGCCTATGATAAAGGTAAAACAGGCGGGGATATTAGATGGTGCCAGGGAATGTCAGACAAATAACATATATTAAAAAATATTAACATTTAGACTCCGCTTTTATCCGAAACTATCCGAAATTTTTGAATCGGTTTTGGTTACGGAAATTTTTTAGTCTCAGATATCCGATAGTTTCGGTTACGGTTACGGATATCCATAACATCCCTGCTATCGATCAACTCGTACCTCGGATCCAATTTCATTAAGTGTCCTCCTCATATTTCACGGAACGGAACATTTCTTGAAGATTTTTGTACACGTCCTAAAAAGTACTCGAATGTAGACCTTAATGCTTTGCGATAAGACACGCGAGATGCTGATGGATGCTGAATGAGCCGTAGGTTCTTATTATTGGAGTCGTAAAGCATTCGCTAATCAGATCCTAGTTTGTAAAGGTATTGATAAATTTGTATTGGTAAAAAGGTTATTTTAGGTCTCCGAGACATCCCGTTTTTTGCAGGATCCCGTTTAATAGCTTACATGTTTTATGATCCGCTTTGGACTGCGCCATTTTGTAAGAAAAACTAAAAATATTTATCTTATTTTTTAGTAAAATGTCTTCAAAATATAAATTCTGAATCAAAATGGTTGCAAATTCGTCAGTCTTCTTAAGACCGGCGAAAAGGTGTTGAGAACTTATAATACTAATGGCTTAATCGGATCAGGGGTTTATCCAATATCTAGTGTCCGAAGCACGGAATGATGTTTTTAGAGAGGTCTCAACTAATCCGGGAGCTACTATGTGAACTGGGGGCTTAGTGTGAGTTTTCATCAAACGTCTTTACTAGTGACTGCGTAAAAAAATGACGGATACTTTCAAGAACTAAAATCTTCATAGATTTTTTGACGCGCACACTAATGACGACGTTTGATGTAAACTCACACTTACGTAAGCCCTCTGGTAATGCCAATGTTCATATGAGAATGCTTTGGTAATACAAATAAATACTCCTATGACAGACACCTGGATAGGTTATGAAGATAACTTGGAAAGAAATCTTAGATGTTAAAGTCTGCCATTTAGAGCCAATTATGCAAACATTTTATTACTTACATCGAAAACATCCAGAATAATTCAAATAGATAACACAGAAAACATTTAAAAAAAACAGAGGTTACGGTTTTGATCCTCATATCCTTATCCATAGTAAATCCAGTACGAGAATCTCCGAACGACTAGGCGGTTGTCAATTCATGCAAGACCACCGTTGGGAAAGTGAAACTCTTTGTACAGACGACAGCACACCAGACTATACATTTTCGTCGAAATAGCCCTTAATAACAACCGCATAAGATTCTACAGTATTTATAAACACTATAGCTACACTAAAGCTATAGCTCAACATGCATTCATCTTTTTACCAACCTTTACTTATCACCTGTGTGGTGACGGCAGAGTAGAATACATTTTGTCACTAACCCTTACTCTTCCCGCGGGTGTCGTAAGAGGCGACTTAGGGGCTACACATTAAACAGAGGACGGGCAGCAGCGTTCTCTGAAAAACATCAATCTTTTAAACTGCGATCTCCAACCCGCCTGCCAAGCGTGGGGATTATGGCAAAACCTTCCACTATAGTGGAGGAGGCTCATAGTCCAGCAGTGGACTGTAAAGGGCTGTTGATGATGATGACGATGACTTATCACCTTCTCCTTCCACAGAACGAAGAATCGGTGCTCATCGGCGGCGTGTGCCAAGTCCCCGACCCGCTGTACAAGGCGATCGGCTCCATCATCTCATTCTACATACCTCTTGGGGTGATGCTGCTGACGTACGCGCTGACAGTCCAACTCCTGGCGCGACAGAGGAAGGGCCTGGGAGCGGGCTGGGCGGCCGGCTGGCTTGGTGCGCCTCCAATCGGTATTTATAAGTAGTGAATGGAAACAGTGATGGTTTTTTGTTTTATAAAAAGGTTAAATACCCCTGTAGTCTCCCAGCTTAGCAGCGAGTGGCAAGAGTGACCCTCCTTTATCTCCGCCTATGCAATGAAGGGAAGTTGATGTTGTATTTCGAAATCCTTCTGTATTCTATTCGTTGCGGGTTCCATGACAGCTTTTCTCCAGGACTAGGTACTCAACCTTCACTGATTGGGCTTCTTGGCTGCCATACTGTAGATCCTGACCATTCAGGAGTAGTAATAGTGGAAGCTAAACAAGGCGATTAGCTCTATCATCTCCTTCTACATACCTCTTGGGGGGCCTCGTGGGCTCCAATCGGTATTTATAAGTAGTGAATGGAAACAGTGATGGTTTTTTGTTCTGTAAAAAGGTTAAATACCCCTGTAGTCTCCCAGCTTGGCAGTGAGTGGCAAGAGTGACCCTCCTTTATCTTCGCCTATGGAATTAAGTTGATGTTGTATTTCGAAATCCTTCTATATTTTATTCGTTGCGGGTTCCATGACAGCTTTTCTCCAGGACTAGGTACTCAACCTTCACTGATTGGGCTTCTTGGTTGCCATACTGTAGATCCTGACCATTCAGGAGTAGTACTAGTGGAAGCTAAACAAGGCGATTAGCTCTATCATCTCCTTCTACATACCTCTTGGGGTGATGCTGCTGACGTACGCGCTGACAGTCCAACTCCTGGCGCGACAGAGGAAGGGCCTGGGAGCGGGCTGGGCGGCCGGCTGGCTTGGTGCGCCTCCAATCGGTATTTATATGATGGTGGATGATGAGTGAATGGAAAGAATGATCTTCTTTTGTTCTGTAGAAAGTCCCAGCTTTGTTGTGAATGGCAAACGTGACCTTCCTTTATCTCCGCCTATGGAATGAAGGGAAGTTGATGTTGTATTTCGAAATCCTTCTATATTCTATTCGTTGCGGGTTCCATGACAGCTTTTCTTCAAGACTAGGTACTCAATCTTCACTGATTGGGCTTCTTGGCTGCCATACTGTAGATACTGACCATTCAGGAGTAGTAATAGTGGAAGCTAAACAAGGCGATTGGCTCTATCATCTCCTTCTACATACCTCTTGGGGTGATGCTGCTGACGTACGCGCTGACAGTCCAACTCCTGGCGCGACAGAGGAAGGGCCTGGGAGCGGGCTGGGCGGCCGGCTGGCTTGGTGCGCCTCCAATCGGTATTTATATGTGGTGGATGATGAGTGAATGGAAAGAATGATCTTCTTTTGTTCTGTAGAAAGTCCCAGCTTTGTTGTGAATCGCAAACGTGACCTTTCTTTATCTCCGCCTATGCAATGGAGGGAAGTTGATGTTGTGCTTCGAACTCCTTCTATATTCTATTCGTTGCGGGTTCCATGACAGCTTTTCTTCAAGACTAGGTACTCAATCTTCACTGATTGGGCTTCTTGGTTGCTATACTGTTGATCCTCCTGACCATTCAGGAGTAGTAATAGTGGAAGCTAAACAAGGCGATTAGCTCTATCATCTCCTTCTACATACCTCTTGGGGTGATGCTGCTGACGTACGCGCTGACAGTCCAACTCCTGGCGCGACAGACGAAGGGCCTGGGAGCGGGCTGGGCGGCCGGCTGGCTTGGTGCGCCTCGAATCGGTATTTATATGATGGTGGATGATGAGTGAATGGAAAGAATGATCTTCTTTTGTTCTGTAGAAAGTCCCAGCTTTGTTGTGAATGGCAAACATGACCTTTCTTTATCTCCGCCTATGCAATGGAGGGAAGTTGATGTTGTGCTTCGAACTCCTTCTAAATTCTATTCGTTGCGGGTTCCATGACAGCTTTTCTCCAGGACTAGGTACTCAACCTTCACTGATTGGCCTTCTTGGCTGCCATACTGTAGATCCTGACCATTCAGGAGTAGTAATAGGGGAAGCTGAACACAGCGATCGGTTCCATCATCAATGATCGTATTATGTTCTATAGAAGGTTCAAGATGCCCTTCAATTCTGGCTCCCACTTTGCGATGGAGAGAAGGCGCTATTATTCTTGGAACTCCTTTAAGTTTGTGATTCGAATTCCACGAGAGCTTGCTCCGAGACTGCTCTATCCTTACTGGTTGGGTTTCTTGGCTGCCATTCTGTAGATCCTGACTGAATAGGACTTTGTGTATGACAATAAAAATAAAACTTGTGTGTGACAATAGTGCAAAGAGGTGGAATTCTGTTTTTTGATTCGTCTGCTAAAGCCAAACTTCGAATAATGACCTAGCAGACTCTACAGGACCATTCTTGAATGTAGATATTGCAAAGGAACAAACTTTATGCATATTTTACCCATTCATGAGCAAGCAAAAGGATGTATCGAATTGCTTAAGGTACCGACAGCTAATTATCCAGTCACAATTTTGATCCAAACTTTTCTGGCTCACGTTCTCGATATTAACATTTTCTGTGATAAATGTCGCTGGATTTATGTTATCTGTTCACAAAGTAAACACCTCCCTTTACGGAACCGACACGATGGTTCTCTAGAGAGAAGAGTAAAATAACCTATTGTAAACTAGCCTCAGGTATATGTTTCTAATAACATCTGGAAATTAGTCTATTTGGAGAGCCTAAATTAATATTCCTTTGGGAAACACAGTTCGTAAAGATATTCGGGCAAAATGAAAACATATTTCCGAAACTTCCACGCCTATTAATTAAGGAAGCTTCTAATTAAATAATTAAAGTCTCTCAAGTATTCCTAACGACTCAATAAATCATTAAGCACAAACTGGTTGAGATAATCTTTGTACTTTGGAAATTATTTATCATAATTGAGACCTTCTACGATTATAATAAGATTCACAATCTACCTGTAGTCGGTTAAAGCGCTAAATTGTTTTGTTCTACAACAAGAACATTTTATTTCATCATAATTGCAGAAGTGTATTTTTAGAGAAAACAAAGTATGTTTAAATCTCATCCTTATTTAATTTTTACAATCACATTTCAAATTGACATTTCTATTAGGACTTCTTCCTTTGCAAAGTCCACCAAACGAATTAAAGTCTTGGGGGTACACTCGTAATACGATTACGTTTTGTCAGATTTTTGTCTCACTTATACATGGAAATATCTCAGGCTGTGTGAGGGAAACGAATAAAACAATGTTTTTGAACTGTAGATAGGTACTGCAAAGTACGACTCCAATTTATACAGGATGTTGACAATAAATTACCAGTGAATTAATACCCTAGGCGGGAAAATATTATTACGATAATAATTTCGTAGATATGAAAGAACAACGTGTGTTAGTAGGTAATTTATTACATTTGCAAAGTTAAAAAAGAAACTAAATAAAATAGAGGGTGTTTTTCTTTGAACATTATAGTCATAGTAAGTCCAGACTCAAACTGAAAACTTTTTATTTCCTGATAGTGTGGTCGGCTTCTAAGTATGAAGAAACGGCCGATAGCAAATCGGTGTATGTATTGTACACATATTGTGCGCACTTTCATACATGTTTATACTGATTAACACTAGCCTACAAACTTAACCCTTACTGGTTGGGTTTTTATTGGCAGTCAAACTGTAGATCCTACACAGGAGTTGCAGGCGGTGGGAACGAGAGGTAGGAATAGTCCCGTTTTAGCACTAGCCTGACTAAACTATCGGCCGTCCAAAAGTATGTAGTCTGTGGAGACTAATGCTGATTTGCACCATCTTACCTTAACTATAACAAACGTCAAAAATCTGTCAAATTCCATACAAGAAACACCAGTTATTGTTAAAGTTATGGCCTAAACGTTCAGGGCTACCTTTTCTTTTTTTATTATTTTCTATTGACGTTCATAAGTGCCACTTGTGGTCTAAACTGAATAAATATTTTTGATTTTGATTTTGAGTCAAACAATCTGTTTACACCCTATATAAATGAGTTAAATCTCTTGGAAGGGGCTTATATCATCATAAAAGATGCCTACTCTGTCAAGATATGCCAGCTCTGTCAAATCCTTTGAGATTATAAGTCCCTCGAGTGAGTGGACTTTATTTGAATCGACTTAAATTAATGATACCCTGGGTTTCGAATAAGGTTGGAAGCCTTCGACGAGATTTGTAATTTTGATTTATTAACATGAAATATAATGTTTTTTTCGTTCTGTCGTTTGGCTTGTACGAGATTTTCCTGTAATGATTAAGTTAATTGATTTTATTGCTCATTGAAAATCTCATTAAATAATTTACGGATCAATCCTACTAATTAATTAGTAGAGTATTATAAATGCGAAAGTTTGTAAGGATATGTAATGGATGTGTTTGTTACTCTTTCACGCTTCAAAAACTGAACGGATTTTCATGAAACTTTATAGTATTATTGTTAACATCAGAATAACATAGAAGCTATTTTAAAATGATCTATGACAAATTTAATTTCACGCGGGTGAAGCCGTGGGCAAAAGCTAGTTCATCTATATACGAGCTCGGAAGGTAAATATTGTAACGTATGGGGGTAACTGCGAGTTTCCTTTTATAAATCAACCAACCAATAACAATAGTTCTTCGGTTCCATTTTGATATCGAAATAGAAACGTTAAGTCCCGGCTCTATAAGTACCAAGAAAATTCTAGACGATTTACATTTTATAAAACTTTGGCTCAGCAAATTAAGTATTTCCATACATTTAACAGTATCCGGCAAACATTGAAATGCATTACTCCATTTGCATTACCATTATAGCTCTGACCCAGTTGATTTTATTCTCCCAATCCCCAATTTAACTTGGTGAAAAAATTCTTTCCATCGCTTAGGGCGGTTTCAATTTCAACGTGGGCAGCAATGTTGTTAGGGCAAATATTGGTTTGTGCGAATGTTTGCCGAGCGACGTTGGCCCAACGGGACAAGAGGCGTAATAATAATATGACGATCTATTATTATCGTTTAATAGTTGACTTAATAGTTGTGTTTTAAATGTATATGTTGTAGTAATTTGAAATTGGCGCGTTCTTGCTACGTAATGACAGATGACAGGTCGTTGACTATGATTTTCTTGTCTGCGCCATCACTGCTGTAATGTGCATTGTTCTGTTTAATAAAACTCAAGTAATTAATTATAAAGTCGTTTAATAACAACAGGNTTTCTGACATAAGTTTCTATGGTATGGGAGCTTCATTTTCAGACCACTGTGCGGCGCAGGCGAGAGCCGTCCCCGCTCCCTCGTCCCGCCCCTCGGTCGCCCAATTCACCCCGCGCTGACTGGGGCCGGCGCGTGAGCAATGCCGCGGCGGCGTTTGTAAACAGTAGTGTCGGTATTATGAAAGAAGCCGACAAATAGGCCTCATTGCTTTGCCGCGCCGCTTGTCACGTGCCAGCGCAGGCGAGAGCCGTCCCCGCTCCCTCGCCCCACCCCTCGATCGCCCTCTTCACCCCGCGCCCGCCGGGACCGGCGTGTGAGCATTACCAGAGTAAATACAAATGAGTAGGTCATCTTCATAGAAACGCCCGAGCGCGGTTTGTATGTAAGCGCGCCAATACGTAGCGTTGATTGATTAGCGGTGAGTTGCCCCGACAGGGGGCTTACCTCCTACTAGGTGGACCGACGATCTGGTAAAGGTCGCGGGAAGAGCCTGGATGCGGGCAGCGCAGGACCGTTCATTGTGGAAAACCTTGGGGGATGCCTTTGTCCAGCAGTGGACGTCATTTGGCTGAAACGAACGAACGAACGAGTTGCCCCGAATTTTGTCAGTGTGCGTGCGCGCCGCATACGTATGAAGATGACCTACTCATTTGTATTTACTATGGTAAAACCTAGGCGGCGTTTGTAAACGGTTGTGTCGGTATTATCAAAGAATCCGACAAACAGACCGCGATGCTTTTTCAATGCCGCTTACACGTGCCGGCAGAGGCGAGAGCCATCCCCACTCTTCTCTTTTTTCTCTTTTCTTTCTCTTTCACTCTTACTCCGCCCCAATGGGAGGGACTACGGGAGCGACGTTTTTTCAGTTCGCAGTCATTTTTTGCAGTGTTTGTGTCTATTTTATGCGCGCAAAAAATGCCGTATCGATACTCAGCCCAGGAGTACCTGGACATGTATGATTGTTACCGCGACGCTGGACAAGTACTACAGCGCGCGAGGGCGCTTTACGCCGAAAGGCATGGGCGCGATGTCCATATTCGCACCATACTTGGCGCAGTTCAGCGCTTCAGGGAGAGTGGCAGCTTCCGCCCTCATCCCGAA